TGAAGGGTAACCAATCAGACTAACAGCTGGCTGCAGAGAAAACACAGACAGAGGAGTGGAAACAAGGAGACGGACAAGAGAAAGTCAGCAACTCCTCGAGGAGACTTTCCTCTTCCATTTTTCCCCCTTGCTCTCCCTCTCTTTCCACCTCGAGCATGATTCAGCAGCATGTAAAGCTGGAACAATATGGCTGAGGGATACAAGGGAGAGAGTAATGCTGCTTTTCCTGCAGATGCAGAACAGTCCTAAAAAATCCATTTGGGAAACCACACAGATTCTGTGGTCGGAAAGCCCAGCCAGGCTTTAAACAGAAACACCAGAGACAGAGAGAGAGGGAGCGACATCATTACCACAGTTTTAGTCAAACAACTCCAAAGCTCAGATAAACAGAGAGAGGCATGAGGACGAGGTGTTGATGTGGAGCCTTACCCAAAATCGTCCAGGGAATACATGTCGCTGAAGAAGAAGACAGCACAGTCCTCAAGCGAAGGATGAACGGAGGTATAAAGGGGAGAGATTATGGAGGAGAGGGGGAAGTGTCAGCCTGAGAGGAGAGAGAGCAGTGCACATGCTGCCCGACGCTGAAACAGACGCAAACCTCTTTCTTTTCTCCCCCCTCGTTCTTCACATCCTGTTTAAATGTTTAAAAGATCCACTACGCCAGCAGAGCAGACATATACAGTGTGTCTGAGAGGAGGAGGAGGAGGAGGGAAGGAGCGAGGGAGAGGGGATGAGTGTTGCAAGGGAGTGAGGGAATGCAAGAGAGAGAGAGAGGGAGAGAGAGATAGGGAGAACATGTGACCACAGCCGACCAGTCACCGTGCTCTGCCTCAACGATTCCAGCGCCGTCTTTCAACCTCCAAGGAATCATTTCCACTGGATGGAAATTACATGGTAGCCTATATGGGAAACAGGATCTCTGCTACACCCGCCTTTCTACAGCATATAAAATCCTAAAACACCAGGGTGAAGCTTTAAATACATTTTACAGTAAATTAATGCTATAAAAAAAGCCAATCACCAATTAACTAAAGAGTAGAAAAACACAGAAACACCCTCAGTTTATTCAGTCAGAAAATCCCAGTTCGAAATCACTGCAGAAATGTATAGTGATTATATTCCAGCAACAAAGGTTTTCCTTCATCTCATGAAACATTTTCCTTTTCCTCAAGGCTTTATCAGAATTTGTCAACCGGTGGTCCATCTGGCTCGGAGCAAACAAACTTAAACTATTAAGCTTCTTTGCCGCAGCGAGCCGAGGTGTGGGAAACAAAGAGCAATCTAGTCCACAGAAAGATTAGGAGGCTTTGTGGGTTTTGAAAATAGTGCATGCAACAGACCCTGGGTTCTAAAATAAGGCCTCGAAGGTCAGAGAAATAAAAGATTATCTTCTCCTCTAAAACAGTGCATGTTTGTATTTTATATGAAATGGTGGCTTGTGAAGCTGCAGAAGATGGTGTTTGTATCCAAGAACTAGATTTCAAATGACAGAACATACATTATAAAACGGTTAAATAGAGATTAAAATGTAGGATGCTACATAAAAGCGTGCAGAGCGAAAGCTGAGAGGAAAACAAAGAACGCCTCTCTGAGTGCCTTTGTGTGGCCTAGTCATCTGATCTGATTTGGCCTGTTTGACCTCCATAAAGCCAAAGGACGCAAGACGCAGATTAATCTTCACATCTCAAATGACACAAAGCCTGTGTGTGATATGCCAAATGACCAGATTACAGTAAAAAGTGTGTGTGTGCATATAACCGTTTGTGTTGTGTGTATAAAAGCAAGCATAGTGTACATGGAGCCAGACCGGTACAGACGGAAAATAAACATCAAGGGATAAGTTTCACACGAATTGTTTTCAGTAGAGGTCAATCTACTGTATAGTTGACATTTAAAAATGCCAGAGTTGGTTGTGATTGATCAATGAGCCAATCAGTCATTCAGTCAGGCAGAAGGGATGTCAGGTTTTTATCATGGAATTGATTTATTGATTATTTGTCTGCTGCTCTTCTACATCAACATCTATGAATAAAAGATATAGTTGAAATTAACCAACTTATTTAAACACATTTCCTTCCAACCTGACTCCAGGGGCAAGTTCAATCTGAAAATCTTTTTGCACTGTTTTGCTACTGTTTCATGGTTGAACGTCATGTTAGATTGAAACTGCGTGTAACAGACTTTAAGGTACATTTTGTTCTTGTTTGTTGGCCAATCAGCAGTGACGTTTATGCACACAATGGATTCAAAAGCTTTGCTAGTCCAAAAAATTACTAGAATTGTCAATAGGTACTAAAGGGATCTGAAAAGACAAGTCCAGCGTCATTCAGCTCAACAGTGGTGTCAGAGGGTAGAGAACACTGATCTCAGAACATGTCCATTGAGGATTTAATCATATCTAATCCATGTTTCCAAACAAGCTGCCTCACAGTAACTGTAGCTTTAAAAATATGTTAAAATCCCCAATGCTTTGTTCCAACAGGAGGTGATCTTAGGCCAAGTGAGCCGCTGGGTCTGAAAAACACTGGAGGAAACAGTGGTACTGTCAGTGGTGTCATTAGTAGTAGTTATAAATTTCTCCTTGAAACCCAGGCTGAAATGTTATATTATCGCCGTGAATGAAACCCTTGAGGATTTTTGTGCTGCTCTCTGATCAGCTGCAGCCTCCAGGAAGATGCATAACTCAGCATTTCACCTTCCGCTGGCTGCACTCGCTCATTCTACCTTTTCCCAAAGATGAGTCACCACAACGAGCGCTTCAGAAATCATCAGGACTGACGCCTCGCTGCTTTCTCTAACCACCGTGTCAAACCAACAAACCTCTCTTCAATGCACACATGCACATGCACGTGCACATATACACACACACACACACACACACACAAAGTAGCCAACCAACCAAATGACAGCAGCCACTCTGACAAGACAAAAGAGCTATCGCATAATAAAACCAGTAACATTACCAGACTAAAAATAACTACACTCACATCTGAACACACACATACACAAACTTTCTCACGTGCACATGCTTGGACGTGGCCATGCACATACATAAATGCATGTGCATTGTGCACGCTTACATAAACGCCACAAAAGAATCAGTGATGCTGAACAAATGATCTCGTTAAATTAAATCTTCTTCTTCTTTTCTTTACAGTGCAGAAGAAGAAGAGGACCCAGGTCACAGTGTTGTTGCTTTGTGGAGATTTAAGACTTCCCTTTGGCCCTGAGTTAAAGAACAGATCTGCCTCTGGCAAAGACACGCAGCACAGGATGGGGCCACGAGCAGCGCATGCAGCCGCACGTTCATCCAACTGGACTGGAAGATATGAATTTTACATGTTGACCGTCTGAGGTTAGAGGAGAATTATCTGGATCATACGGGAGAATTATCTGGATCATACGGGCGCCGAGACGTCTCACACAGGCATTAACAGAAAACACAAATACATAAGCCACATAACGGAACACAATCACAATGGAAGCAGGTGACAATCGATGTTGAAACAAACAGAGTTGCTGCGGTCGTTTGTGAAAACCCGATTGAGCCACTTGCTGCTTAAAATGTGATGCATGTCTATTTGAGCGGCTGTACATGTGTATTTTTACTTTTGGGGTGGGCCAAGCACCTAGGCTGAAATGTGACTGGCCCCTGAAGTGCCTCTGTCCTGTCAGTCTTTCTTTTAAAGTAAATGAGTCACTAACAAACAATAAATATGACAATTTGTTAAGAATTTGTACGTTCTGGACTGTTTTGAAGAACACAATGTGCTTGAAATGTGTTTAAAATATATTTAATAATGTGGCTTCACTCAAAGTTAGAGAGGGAAGAGTAAACACGAACCGACTTAAAGGTGCACCTTACTCAATCAGGAATTGTGCATGGATGCTGGATAACATAATTGGCCCCTCTGTGTAAATTCTAGCCCCTCTATTGCCCCTGATTTTGAAATTCTGAATCTGCCACTTTCCAGAGGAAAGAGCACCCCTGGTTTTCTGTCTTATTCTCTATCTGTCTCCATCTCACTTTCCACTCTGAGGCCTGTAAGACAACTACACACAAAGACGAGCTCACACACTCGCAGACAAACTGGTAGCTACAGTAAAAGCAGAGCGAAAGTGAACGTGAGAGAGAGAGAAAGAGAGAGAGAGTGCTCTGTATCTGAGCTGTCAGAGTGGATCTGAGGCCATAAAACGGAAAGGTGCAGCTCTGGAGGAGTCAAACTACAGGGGGAAATATAAAAAGTCCTGTTTCATAAATAGAGCAGAGCACAGAGAGCGTGCAGGAGGAGAAGATCCTCAGCATGGTGAGCAGGGATAGAGCTGAAAATACACACACACACAAATACACACTGGTGCTACGGAATTAGGATTTTACCATGAGACAGTTTCCATAGGCTGAACGTGCGTGTGTGGATCCGTCATGGAGCAGGATGACGTAGGAGTGTGTGAGGGGGGGTGAGGGCTGAGGAGGGGGGGGTCTGATAACCTGCCTGGCAACCACCAGAATAACCCCCCCCCCCTCCTCCTTCTCACTCATCCAGGGGGGGACACACACTCACGCTGTGCATTAGTCTCTCTCTCTCTCTCTCTCACTCACACACACACACACACACACAGCATCTTTGTATTTCACCTGGTACACTCTTTAAGGGTGAGATGCTGCCGTTTCCATGACAACAGTAGTTAAATCACCGCATCCGACACAATGGGCGGGTCCAGCGACAGATGGAGAACAACTGATGTGTCTGCTGAACATAAAGCGGATGAAGCTGAGGCCCGGCGAGCGGGTGGGCCCCGGACCACTGTCCCCATCACACAAGGACAAAACGTGGTGTAACACGCCGCGGTTCCACTATTTCTACACGAGGATGTGTGTTGTATAATGGTGTACGACGGTGTGATGGATGGATGAACGGAGAGGGGCCGAGGGATGAGTGTCGGTGCGCATCTGTCATGACGCGTCGAACCGAGCGCATGGTGCCGCCGCCGCCGCTTACCTCATTTTCTCCTCCGCTGCCGGTGGCACCGACGAGGCGGGTGGAGACGGACCCACAGTCCGCGTTTAGTGTCCGAAGAGGCGGCGTGAGAGGCTCGACTCGGCCCGGCAGCCTCCGACTCTTCTCCTCCGGTGTCTTCTGTGCGGTTAGCTGAGGGGGGGGGGGCGATGTGTCTCGGGGAGGCTAAGCGGTGTCTCCGCTCCGCTTTGTGCTCCTCTGTCTCTGCGGTCCGCCCTGTGCTGTCTGCCTCCTCGGGTCCATGCTCAGCCGGGGCTCGGCCTCAGTAGAAGACGGAGAACGATGGTGGTGTAGGTGGTCGTCGGCCGCCGCCTCCCTCAGGCCACCGCTCATTCCCATCCGGAGTGTTGTGGAGGAGGTTTTTTGGGGGGGGGGGGAATCAGACGGCGCGAGGTGGAAGAGGGGAGGTGGGAGGGGGGGAGTAGACCGGCTCAATGCTGCCTACCTGCGGTAAAGACGCGTACACGCAGCCTCACTGACGCCCCCTCCCCACACCCAACACTGATCTGTCCAGGCCGGAAACACTCCAGGTCCAGAGTGTAAGATTCAGGTGAAAGGATCTAGTGGCAGAAATGGAATCTAAAATAATCCTAGTGTGTTTCATCTACATTGTAGGAATTGTTTTCTTTACCCTAGAACGGGCTCTTTATATGTAAAGACTTTATGTTTACATCGGAGCGGGTCCTCTATGGAGGCCGCCATGTTTTTTTTTTACAGAAGCCAAGACTGGACAAACTAAACCTTTTGAGTTTTTATGACAACTGAAGCTGCCACAGGTTCTCTGTCATGTTGGGAAGGGGAGGACGAGATGAGGGGTGTTCAGCTTCAACTTCACCACTAGATATCACACAATTTTACAGACTGACCCTTTAAAGCAACACTATGTGACTTTTTTTTTAAAACTGAAAAACAGCAGCTTCAGAATGGATCAGATGCTCAACTGATCCATGAGTTCTTCTCTGAGAAATCAACAAAAATATCAAATCTCACAATGTTAAAGAAAGTGGGGGAAAAAATCCTGGATCAGCCTCCTGATCTGGAACCGCACCCTAATCCACCCAGTAGTTCTTGCATAATCCCTCTAACTAATTTGACAGAACACACAAACAAATCACATCTGGTAAATATGAGACACAGCATCTATGGGAATTTCATGTTGCGTTTACTCTCAGACAAAATGTTAAGTGTTCAATGATCCTGCAGCCCCGAGTGTTTAGTGGTAAAACAAACCCTGTTACATTCACTCTGTAGAGTGGTGACTTTTATCACTGCAGTTAGATTCTTCGTGGTTTTTCCTGATGAGAAAAGTCCAACAACCAGATTTCAAAAGCTCATATCAGTGGCAATTATGGTCACACTAAAATCTGCTTCACCCCATTAAAATCATCACTGATGTGAGTCATGCAGCATGTGAGTCATTTAAGCTTTCTGACCGTGAAATGAGGAATGTGACGCGCTACGTACCGTACCATAGATCTGAGTGGACGGCTGAGAGCAGACACTGGTTTATGAAAAACTCCAAGAAGTGATAAATGGTGATTACAGGAGAATTTGTGTGTTTATCAGGCTGAAGCAGTGAAATATAGAAAAAAAACACATCAAGAAGGTTCAGTAAAATAAAAACACATTGCCAGTGACTGAAGGTGCTCACCTGAGGAGCACGTCAGACATAAACAGTTACAGTGCGATGGTCTCGTCTTCATCCTTTATAATCTGATCTGGGTGCAACAAACTGCAGCGCGACACAGATTTGAAAAAAGGCTTCATGTCATTGAAAAACCCAAAACGTGATTCTCCTTAAACCTTAACAGCTCCACGCAGAAAACTGGAAACAGTTTTAAATCATGTATATTCACACACATTTTGCTCGTATCAGTTCTTTCTGTATATTTATACATCATGGGGCGAACCAGGGTTGGGGGAATTAAAAGTCAAAGGAACTGATATGGGCAGTGATGGATTTGCAACAGGATTAATAAATATTTGGAAAAGTGTCTGATTTAAGACCAGGAAGCACAAACATCTGAGAAATCTTCAGAAAACTTTGTTGAAAATGGTTAAAATGTGTATTTTGAATTAAGATAATGTAATTACTAATCATCTGAGAATAATTACTCCAAATACTGGAAAATGACATGCAGCATGTCCTCTCTTCATCTATATTATTCTCCTTGCTGGGAATATTCATGTCCACTAAATTCACTGTATAGGTGGTATTAAAACACAAGTAATCAATGTAAATGAATCAATAATGTTGAATCAGATAACAACTGTGGTTGGTATCTCCGTGAACATTTTAGTGAAGTGTTTTTCGGGCTTCCAGAGGCTCGCTCTGATATGTCAGTGTTAATAACAGGGAAGGATCCTGCTTCACTGGCTCTTTCCTGAGTTGTTAAATAGAAAATAAAATAAAAGTTTAATTGTTAGAAAATCACCACGTTCTTTCTTTTTCTGTTCACTTTTTGTCTCGATGCTCACGTATCTTCGGCTCGATGATATTCAGCCTGGAAAGGCTCAGAAACAAACTTAATCAGGCCTTAATCTGGAGCAGGAGCGTGCACGATACAGTGAGAGAACAGTGAAAGCCCAGTTGTACAAATGCAGTCAGGAAGTACCAGCCTTTGGTTTTGTTTAGTTGGATTTGATCCGTTTGATTAGTTTTACGTGTCATTGGTGACTTGGCTACAGTGTTTTTTACCTTTACATGTAGTGTGAATAAAAAAAAAGGAGAAATATTCAGGATTTTTGCATCTCGAAGAACCGCTCATTACGTCTCTACCAGTTCATCTCATTTGCGATGTGAGAGCGTGATGCTTCAGTTCCTCTTCTGTCGCCTCAGCTCAGTCAAATCCACTTCTTTTTTATCATCTGAGTTAATTCAAGTTTGGTTGGGTTCAGTTAAGTGCAGTTCAGTTTGGTTTGGCTGGATTTCAGGCCCCAGCCGCAGTTAAATTGACAGTATCTGTTTCAGTCGTGCACTCAGACTATCCTCCATTGCATCACGCTCATGTCCTTCCCTCCGGTCGACACCAGATAGCTGTCGTCAAACAGGAAGGTCACATTGGTCACGTGACTGCTGTGGCCACCGTACGCATGGCTTGGAGCCTGTAAAGAAAAGATAATGACTTAAGTTTCCTAATGTACTAAGATGTATATTCTATACATGTACATTCTCCAGCTGATCTTACCCTGAACTGTGAACAGGGGTATGAGAAGAGATGAACCTTCCCGAAGTCGTCCCCAGTGACCAGGAGGCTCTTGTCACTGGACCTGCAGACAGCGTTGATGTCGGTGCCGTCTGAGCCGTCGGGCCACAAGCCTGAGGAGGAGGATGCAGTTTAATGCAGCTGAATGAGCATTAAAACGTGACGACACAGAGAGACGACGGAGGTTAGCTCGCTCTTACCGAAGACCTGGAAGCCCAGAGTGCAGGTGTATGTGGCCCACTCGATGTCTCTGGTTGTCTCCACACTGACCACCTGTTTGCACACGGACGGGATCCCTGAGGAAAAAAATACACAAACCAAATGCATACATATAAATGTGTGACTTTAAAACCAACCCTGCGTGTTAATATAATAATAATAATATAATATAGGTCCTTCACACTTGTGGTAATTTAAGATATTTTTAATACATTTTTTACATTTACCTAACGGAAAAAAATTGCTCTTGTCAACACGTGAAGTCTTTATCACCGTCTTTAAATAATCTACATTTAATGGGACATCTCCTGTGGAGCAGGACAATTGGTCATTCATGTTCACCTCAAACATTTTGCTGCTCAGTTTCAGTGATTCAGTGTTTCAATTTTGTCCAATAGATGATTTAATTTTTGCGCACACAGTTTGTAGTCTTTGCTGGAATACGGTGATCACTGTAGTCAGACTCATGCAGCAGATCATAGTTAGAGTGTGGAGTCTAAACTAAGACCTCATCACTCCTCCAGGTATGATTACATAGAGATGATGAAGAATGATGAGCAAATATCTTGACAATGACAAGCAATGACAAGCAAAGGGAGAGCTGGGAAATCTTTGCTGCTTCAAATACACTGCCAAATTGGGAGGGTGTGTATGACAGGGTTGTGCAGAGTGAGGGTCATCACATGATTAGAGCAAGTAGAGAAAAAGAGGAGTTTTTGCATTCCTGTCATGTACTCTCCATTTCAAGCATTATTGTATCTGTCATGAGGGCGACAGTGATCATACTCACAGTACAGTATCTCATAGTCTCCTGAATTTGACACCAGATACTGGGAGTCCACTGACCAGTCCAGATGGGTGATGAAACTAGAGTGACCCTGAGATAAGAGGAAATAGGAGCAAGTTAGACTGTTTCTCTTTATAGAAGCACGACGACACACTTTACAGTATCTTTACAGTGGAGATAAGCAGTAGAAGTAATTCTAGGAATACTGATTCAATCTGCTACAGCAACCCGTAGTTAATTATGTTTACATACAGACTGTATGACTCAGCTCAGTCATTTATCATCACCAAACCTCTCCATCAACACATCAAGGACAAAGTGTACGGCCCAAATATAGAGCTGAGGAGGGAACTAAATATAAAGCTGATGTGAGGGGGAACTAAAAATAAAGAAGCCAGGGATGAGGAGAGGAATATAAATACAGGTGCTCACCGAGCACTTCCCCACTCGACTGTACTTCCTCCCGTTTTCTGCCACAGCGTAGATATAGATGTAGTTGTCATGGGAACCGATGGCCAGGAAGTTACCATCTAAATAAAGAAGACAAGAAGATTAGTGGTTTTACAACACACTGTACTAAATATAACTGTATCTGAATTCATCAAGAAAAATCTAATACCATTGGTCTTTGTTTATATTGTATAATATATCTGTATAATGTTTTGAGAAACATTATTATTTTATTACACTTTGCATCTTCGGGAGAAATGAACTGTCATCCCTTATCAACATACCTGTACCGAAGCGCATAACAGACAGCTGTTCATTCCCATCTGTGTGCATCGTCACTAAATCCTTGGAGTCTGTGTCCAGCACCAGCCACCTGCATGATCAGCGACACACTCTGGTTTTTCTTCAGTTTAATATTGTTTAAAATCTGCTCTTGGCATATTGGGATTGACTGGGATCTGTACCTGCCAGTTTGGGTTCCTACGGCAACCACAGCTCCAGTTGGGTGGAAGCCTGCTGATTGGGCAGCGTCCTGTCGGAAACAAAAAAGTTTAACAGAGGATGTCAATAATAAACAAGAATAGAATATTATATATATGGTAGAAAACTGGATGTCATATTAATGTGGGTGTTATTATTTTTATTCTACATGTTAAGTTCCTTAAGAATCTCAAGGACCTCAGGACT